CTATCTGCTGGCCTTGACGGGAGCAGGAAGCCGGCAGCTTGTCAAAGGTCCCCCCTCCCTCCCCCAATATTTATCTCCATTAAACGCCTGTCGTTGCCTGTGGGTAGGATGCTTATCACCGTGGAATGGGGAATATGGAACAGAGAAACGGGAGGGTATTGAGGTGGGGGAGGGGAAGAAGGTAAGTTTCAGCCTCATATAGAGCGGTGTGGGTTGGGGAGTGTGGAACCTTTTGGGCACCGGGGATATGTTGGGGGAATGGGTGGGATGAGCCACGATGGGTTGGAATGATATGTGGGTGCATGTGTGTTTGTGGGCACACACACACACACACACACACACACACACACACACACACACACACACACACACACACACACACACACACACACACACATGTATATAAATATATATTAAATTCTCTTTACCCTTTTACCGCCATTTTGCTTAATTTTTGCGCTACAATCCTCCACGCCTCTTCCCATTTTCTTTGCTCATCCACTTCTCGATACCAAGACGCTTGCATGGTACTCTTAAGTGGCATCTTACCACAACATCAGCCTCGCTTGCCAGCCGGTCCTCTCTCGTTATCACCAACGTCATAAAAACGATGTGCTAAAATTGCCTCGAACCTAACCCAATCTAACCTACGACTCGTGTATAGAAAACGCGGTGTTTGTGAGCGGCTGTGATTTATAGTACATCATTGTTTGTCCGGTGGGGAATTTAACGTCAAAAATGCGATGTATTGTTGTTGCCTTAGTCACCACCGTCACGTCACGTCACGTCATGTCATGTCATGTCACGTCACGTCACCAGCGTCACCTCTGCTGGGGTGGGTGGGGGGACGGTGGTTCGGATGAATGGACATGTAAAGCATTGTTGGGGGACTTTTTTTAGGTCACTTACAAGTGCAGGTTCGTGTGTGTGTGTGTGTGTGTGTGTGAGTGTGTGTGTGTGTGTGTGTGTGTGTGTGTGTGTGTGTGTGTGTGTGTGTGTGTGTGTGTGTGTGTGTGTGTGTGTGTGTGTGTGTGTGTGTGTGTGTGTGTGTGTGTGTGTGAGTGTGTGTGTGTGTGTGTGTGTGTGTGTGTGTGTGTGTGTGTGTGTGTGTGTGTGTGTGTGTGTGTGAGTGTGTGTGTGTGTGAGTGTGTGTGTGTGAGTGTGTGTGTGTGAGTGTGTGTGTGTGAGTGTGTGTGTGTGAGTGTGTGTGTGTGAGTGTGTGTGTGTGTGTGTGTGTGTAAAGAAAATTGGCAAGTTGTGTTGACCAATGTTGAGGAGCTCGTGCAATAACCCAGTGTGGATGATCTGTCAGACACGAGGTGAGCGTTTACAGTGATCTCACTGTCAGAACATCTGCAACTGTAGGAAAATGGTTTAGAAAAACAATTAAAATGATGAAAATGTAAGAAAATAAAGTTTTAGAACATTATTGTGTTTATGGTCCTATAACAGAATTATTTGATCATGTTTCTATAACAAAATTCTTTTATCATGGTTCTATAACAAAATTATTTGATAGGTATAAAATAGGATGTCTGTCTGTCTGTCCCAAGTAGGAGGTCAGACGCTTGGAAAGTCTCCCAACTTTCCAAGACGACACGTAGGGTGTGTGTGAATGTCATAGGTCAGTCGGAGTTGTCCTCAATTCCACCTATATGCCTACCTACCGTTTAGCAATTTTCAATTGGTATAAACCAATTTTCATGAAGTCTGCAATCGTGGATATGTCTTCCGTAGAGTTATTTAAATGTTTTATTCCCACCCATCCTCCTAATTATGACGCATTATGACGTATAATTTCCCTAAGACCAAAAACTGATGTTACTAACAATGCCAGCGGCATCGCGAAATTTAGGTGATGTCCCGTTTTTTGTTCGTGGGTCCTGGGGTTGGTTAAGTTCAGGCACCATAGTACAACAGTTTAGTGACCTTGAGAATATTACATTTTCTGGAAGGGGGAGAGTGTGGGAAGGGGGGGGGAGAGGGAGAGGGAAGGAGAGTGGGGGGGGGGGTGTAGATAGGTGAGATTGGGAAAAAGGGGGGATGAGAGGGGGAGATTGGGAAAGAGAGGGGATATTTGGGAGAGGGGGAGCAAGATGGAAGAGGAGAGAGAGTGGTGGGGGTAGAGGAAGAGAGAGAGAGAGAGGAGGGGGGATGGAGCGAGCCCCCCTCCCCCCCCCACCCACAACCAGGAACTGTGTTGTGATTCTATAACATATAATAGATCAAATAATTCAGTTATAATAATATGCAATAATATGACCAGTGTAACAACCAACAAAATAGCAGTAAATAATGTTAAATAACACTGAAAATAAAAATACTAGCACTAAGCCTAATAATAATGGTAGAAATAAACTAATAAAAATTAGTTATAAAAGGTTTAATTTTTATAATAATAATTATATTCGTAATATAAAAATTAATAAAAATTTATATTATAAAATAATAACAACAGTAGCAACAAATTAATAATAATAATAATAAAGCAAAAAAATATAAAATACTATATCAATAATTTTTTTAATAACGTTAATAACGAAACAATAAAGAGACAATAACAATAACATCAATTATTATAACAAAAAATAATATTAAGTAAGAAAATTAAAGGAAAGAAAGAATTAATATATTTATCCAAAGGTTAAGAATTAAGACGATTTTGATAAGGCAGAAGACCAGGTGTGGAGGCCAGGTGTGGAGACCAGGTGTGGAAGTGGTGGCCAGGTGTGGTAGTGGAGACCAGGTGTGGTAGTGGAGACCAGGTGTGGTAGTGGAGGCCAGGTGTGGTAGTGGTGGCCAGGTGTGGTAGTGGAGGCCAGGTGTGGTAGTGGAGGCCAGGTGTGGTAGTGGAGGCCAGGTGTGGTAGTGGAGACCAGGTGTGGTAGTGGAGACCAGGTGTGGTAGTGGAGGCCAGGTGTGGTAGTGGAGGCCAGGTGTGGTAGTGGTGGCCAGGTGTGGTAGTGGAGGCCAGGTGTGGTAGTGGAGGCCAGGTGTGGTAGTGGTGGCCAGGTGTGGTAGTGGAGGCCAGGTGTGGTAGTGGTGGCCAGGTGTGGTAGTGGAGACCAGGTGTGGTAGTGGAGACCAGGTGTGGTAGTGGAGGCCAGGTGTGGTAGTGGAGGCCAGGTGTGGTAGTGGAGGCCAGGTGTGGTAGTGGAGGCCAGGTGTGGTAGTGGTGGCCAGGTGTGGTAGTGGCGGCCAGGTGTGGTAGTGGAGACCAGGTGTGGTAGTGGCGACCAGGTGTGGTAGTGGAGGCCAGGTGTGGTAGTGGAGACCAGGTGTGGTAGTGGCGGCCAGGTGTGGTAGTGGAGACCAGGTGTGGTAGTGGCGACCAGGTGTGGTAGTGGAGGCCAGGTGTGGTAGTGGTGGCCAGGTGTGGTAGTGAAGGCCAGGTGTGGTAGTGGAGGCCAGGTGTGGTAGTGGAGACCAGGTGTGGTAGTGGTGGCCAGGTGTGGTAGAGGAGACCAGGTGTGGTAGTGGCGGCCAGGTGTGGTAGTGGAGACCAGGTGTGGTAGTGGCGACCAGGTGTGGTAGTGGTGGCCAGGTGTGGTAGTACAGGCCAGGTGTGGTAGTGGTGGCCAGGTGTGGTAGTGGTGGCCAGGTGTGGTAGTGGAGGCCAGGTGTGGTAGTGCAGGCCAGGTGTGGCACAAGAGACCCCCAGGTGTGGCACAAGACCCCCAGGTGTGGTACAAGAGATCGCCCAGGTGTGGTACAAGACCCCCCAGGTGTGGTACAAGACCCCCAGGTGTGGTACAAGAGACCCCCAGGTGTGGTACAAGAGACCCCCAGGTGTGGTACCAGAGACCCCCCAGGTGTGGTACCAGAGACCCCCCCAGGTGTGGTACAAGACACCCCCCAGGTGTGGTACAAAAGACCCCCCAGGTGTGGTACAAGACCCCCAGGTGTGGTACAAGACCCCCCCCCCAGGTGTGGTACAAGACACCCCCCAGGTGTGGTACAAGACACCCCTAGGTGTGGTACAAGAGACCCCCCAGGTGTGGTACAAGAGACCCCCCAGGTGTGGTACAAGAGACCCCCCAGGTGTGGCACAAGACCTCCCCCCCAGGTGTGGTACTAGAGACCACAGGTATTCTACGTTTTTACGACGTATATTTTCGTTGTCATAACGTTATTGTTACAAGGTGAGAACGTTCTAACAACGAAACTATGCGCCGTGGTTACGTTGTGTTTTTTTCAGGGTTAGGGAAGGTTAGGTTGATAAGGTAGGTGACCTTCCTCTGTGGAGGTAGAGGCTGGCCAGTGTTGGGTGATGGCGTGGGAGGCTGGCCAGTGTTGGGTGCTGGCGTGGGAGGCTGGCCAGTGTTGGGTGCTGGCGTGGGAGGCTGGCCAGTGTTGGGTGCTGGCGTGGGAGGCTGGCCAGTGTTGGGTGATAGCGTGGGAGGCTGGCCAGTCTTGGGTGATGGCGTGGGAGGCCAGAGTTTGTCATCTTTCTTTGTCACTCTCTTCCTGATTCTCACCTTGTGGGTACAGGTGATTCACACACACACACACACACACACACACACACACACACACACACACACACACACACACACACACACACACACACACACACACACACAGGTATGCTTTGATAAATATTACTTAGAGTTAAGTTATAGAGAATCAAAAATGGACAAGTTAGTTCATATATATTCGTTCGAGTCATTATTTTATGAATGTCTTCCCTATTGTTTATTTCTTTCGTTGTGTGTAAAAAACGCATTTATTTGTTTCATAAAACGTATATGTGTGTGTGTGTGTGTGTGTGTGTGTGTGTGTGTGTGTGTGTGTGTGTGTGTGTGTGTGTGTGTGTGTGTGTGTGTGTGTGTGTGTGTGTGTGTGTGTGTGTGCGTGTGTGCGTGTGTGTGTATGTGTGTGTGTGAACATTCCAAGGAGGAGGGTGAGGGCGGGTGATATAGGTGGTGGTGGTATAGGTGGTGGTGATATAGGTGGTGGTGGTATAGGTGGTGGTGGTATAGGAACCAGGAAACACAGGCTTATTCAGTGGAGGAGCGACCAGCAGTCAGATTTATTTAAATTTTATATATATTTACATAAATATTTGCATTGGTGATTCTTATAAATAACACCGAACCTTCCTCAAACATATAGACGCCGCTGTCTCTCTCTTTCTAAAGCGACTCCATTTTTTTTATTCTTTGATATTTCACTATATATATATATGTATATTGTATATACTTGTTAAGGGCCAATTCGCTTTGAGCTATACAAAAATATCTGTATACAACTCATGCCCGCAGGGGGGTATAGTGGGGGACAGATGCTACGGCAGAGGTAGAGTCGAGGTGTGTTATAGGGTATTGGGAAAAGGGTATCGGCCTGTGTAATTAATATAATATTGGATCCTATACAACAGGAAATATTATGAGACGTAGACCAAAGAGAGAACAAATATTAAGTGGCTTTGTTTCATCTCAAGCCCGATTGGAGTCTACTTTGCGAAGGAAGGAGAGGCCTCCTTCGTCAGTAGGCAGGATACGACAGGTTCCTTGGTTACAGATGTCCACAGAGCAGCGGAGGTGATCCCGTGGGAGGTATATATGAATGCCAAGGAGTTCCTCTGGCGGAGGAGCGCTCTGAATCACCACTGGCGGTAGTTTGAAGGGTCGTCGAGACGTGACTCCCGGACCACCGTCAGCGCTGCCTGCCAGGAGGTGCTCGGTCGTTGGAAGGGCCACCACAACCTCGTCTAGTGGTGCACGGCTCATTTACTTCCTGGAAAGTAAAAGATACTGTTTTTTACTAAGCAATAACTATGGCCATCAGATACAGACACAACTAATAATATTACCGTCACTACTACAGCGTCTATTATCAATATTTGTTATAGACGAGGAGGAAGAACAAGAAAAACGAGTTTTCTTAAAACATTTTGAAGACATAGGGTCAGATTCACGAAGCAGTTACGCAACTACTTACGAACGTGTACATCTTTCTTCAGTCTTTGACGGCTTTGTTTACATTTATTAAACAGTTTACAAACATGAAAACTTCCCAATCAACTGTTGTTATTGTTATAAATAGCCTCCTGTTGCTTCGGAGCTCATTACCTGTTTAATAATTGTAAACAAAGCCGTCAAAGATTGAGAAAAGATGTACAGGTTCGTAAGTACTTGCGTAACTGCTTCGTGAATCTGGCCCATGATCACTAAGCCTTGACTGTGAACCACATCCTTTATAAGTTTAGTGTAAGCCTGCTGGTGTAATGTTAAGTGATGTCAAGACTCGACGGAACGTTTGGAGGAGTCGGCGAAGAAATCCTCAACGTCTCTCACTCTTGCCGAGAGAGAGAGAGAGGAGTGTGTAGGAGGGGGGAGACTGTACACAAAGGGGGAGAAACTACTTTAGTGACTGTGCACATTGGGGAAACTCCTTTAGAAACAGTACACAAGAGGGGATACTCTCCCTCGGTGACTGTACGCAAAGAGTGAGACATTCCTTCAGAGAATGTGGACAAGAACGGGAGACTGAGGTGTCTTCACTAGACCAACCTCAGCTGCTGCTGGTGCTGCTGCTGCTGCTGCTGATGCTGTGGTCTCTCCTGCTGTATCTGCTGCGTCACGTCCCTCTTGCCGATGTCGTTTAATAGCTTCTGGTTGTGCTGAACTCTCTGCATCTGCTGACGCTGCTTCTTGCGGGCCATCTCTAGGTAGAGCGCCTGTCGTAGCACCTTCATCGAGGCGTCGATGGAGAGGGAGAGACCGGAGGTCCCTCGTCGGCCAGGTCCTTTTGTCCAGGTCCTCTTGACCATAGTGTTGTTATCGAGGATGTTGGTGCTGCTGGGACTACTGCTGTTGATGTTTCGGCTGTTCCTGATCCTCCTGCCGCTGCTGCTGCTGGTGCCAGTGGCCTGCTCAATAAAAGAAAGACCCGTGGTTTAACATGTTACTAATAAGAATGTTTTACATGTATAATGTTATGGACATGTTCCACACTTCCTCCCGTATCTGCATTAAGCTTTCTCATCCTCCACTAAGCCCTCCCTCCCTCCCTCCTCTAAGCTCTCTCACCCTCCACTCATCTACACATATACACAGACAATTGTGTCTTAAACCCGCTCCAAATGCAATCTCCGTTCCGCTTTTCTATTGGAAATACAAATAGATATTCTTTGTCGGCGCCGCTGTCTCAAGCTGCATTCTCCGTGATCTTATTAGATACAAACACGTCTGTGGCACTCTGGTATAGTGAGCCACAGCCCCCCCCCACTCCTCGGGGCTGCTCCTCGGGGTTGACAGTGGTTGACAGCCAATGTCAACCCGTCAACCCGCGGTATCCACATACAAATCAACTCTACGTCTCGTTAACATGTCAGTAGTTGACCAACACATTTACACAACTAATTTTAAGGAGAGTGTGGGTGCTGAAGAAACCATTAAATATATCGGGTTAGGAAACCTGGGAGTTCGAAGCCTCTTCTGTGAAATGGAAAAATAGATTGTTTCCTAGATAGATTCCTTGCTGCTTCTCTCCACCACCTTGCACCTCTTCACCCATCCCTACACTCACCCACTCATCCCTACACTCACCCACTCATCCCTACACTCACACACTCATCCCTACACTCACCCACGCATCCCTAAACTCACCCCACCCATCCCTACACTCACCCCACCCATCCCTACACTCACCCACCCATCCCTACACTCACCCACCCATCCCTACACTCACCCACTCATCCCTACACTCACCCACGCATCCCTACACTCACCCACGCATCCCTACACTCACCCACCCATCCCTACACTCACCCACCCATCCCTACACTCACCCACCCATCCCTACACTCACCCACTCATCCCTACACTCACCCACGCATCCCTACACTCACCCACGCATCCCTACACTCACCCACCCATCCCTACACTCACCCACTCATCCCTACACTCACCCACCCATCCCTTCACTCACCCACCCATCCCTACACTCACCCACTCATCCCTTCACTCACCCACCCATCCCTACACTCACCCACGTATCCCTAAACTCACCCACTCATCCCTACACTCACCCACCCATCCCTACACTCACCCACCCATCCCTACACTCACCCACTCATCCCTACACTCACCCACGCATCCCTACACTCACCCACGCATCCCTACACTCACCCACCCATCCCTACACTCACCCACCCATCCCTTCACTCACCCACCCATCCCTACACTCACCCACTCATCCCTTCACTCACCCACCCATCCCTACACTCACCCACTCATCCCTTCACTCACCCACTCATCCCTACACTCACCCACGTATCCCTAAACTCACACACTCATCCCTACACTCACCCACGCATCCCTAAACTCACCCACGCATCCAAATTCCTACATCCAGGCCAAGGTGAAGTCCCAGTTGTTGTTGTTGTTAAAGATTCGCTACTTGGAACAAAAAGTTGCAAGCAGCACAGGCTATGGTGAGCCCGTAGTTCTCAGGAGTCCGAGGAGGTGGTCACCATTCTCATTAGCGCCACCTCTTGCCCTCCTCACAACGTGTTTTGATTTATCTGCTTTAAATAACGCCCAGTGTTGTTGTTGTTGTTTTAGATTTAGCTACTCAGAACGAAGTGTCCATGTAGCACGGGCTATGGCGAGCCCGTAAGTCCCAGTGCAATACACTGCCGGTTTTATGGGCGTTTTACGGCTTCTTGTGAGGTGTCCCTCCAAGTTAGCCGGACGAGTGAATATCGGGCTCCTGGCCGGATAAGGTCCGGCTGGGGATTCTAGCGGTCTTTGCGGAAATGTTAATGGCTCTTCTGCGAAATGGAATTAAAGATTGGGATGGAGTTGTTGGTGTTATTGATGTCGAGTCTAGTCCTTACTGACTGGCGATTGGTGGTTGTGAATTGGGATTTGGGTTGTGGATATTGGTGGATTCTGGTGGATGTTGATGGATACCAACTGTGTTGATGGATACTTCACGGTTGCATGAGCGGCTGACGTTATCCTATTTATATGAGCGTCTGGAGTTAGATTGGGTGTTATGTTCACTTTCAGGAGTTTTCTCTACTCGTTATAGGGAGGTAGTTTCCCTTCACCGAGTATAGGCTTTTAGGTCTCCTGGCTCCTAATCCCATTTTTATCACCTTGCACTTGCTGCTGTTGAACTCTAGCAGCCATTTCTCGGACCAGCTCTGCAGTGCAACCTGTTAGTCATCCTGGAGAATCTAACAATCCTTATATGTCTCAACCCTCCTCATTAGTTTTGCATCATCTACAAACATCGAGATATTATACTCAACTCCTGCAGTCAAGTCGTTCACATATATGAGAAATAGAATGGGTCCCAGCACCGATCCTTGAGGCACCCCGCTTGCTACTCTACGCCAGTGCGACTCCTCGCCCCTCACTGTCACTCTCTGAGATATGTCCGTTAGGTAATTCCTTACCCATGGTAATGCGTTGACGCCTACTCCCGCCTGCCTCTCAAGTTTATATAGTAACCTGTGTGGTACTGTATAAAAGGATTTTCGACTGTCCAGGAATATGCAGTCTGTCCAGTCTTCTCTGTCTTGCCTTATTTTCGTTATCTAATTCTAAAACTAGTTCGTCAGGCATGATTTCCTTTCTCTAGAGCTGTGTTGTTGTTGTTTACTTAAAAACCTAATTCTTTCCAGGTGTGCAACTAGTCTTAACCTTATAATTCTTTCAAGCACTGTGCAAGGGATGCTTGTGAGCGACACTGGTCTGTAGTTAAGTGCCACTTCCCTATCTCCTTGGCACCACATTAGCCTTCTTCCAGCAACTGTACTCACATAGTTGAGCTTGCGGGGGTTGAGCTTTGGCTCATTGGTCCCGCCTCTCGACTGTCGATCAACTGGTGTACAGGTTCTAGAGCCTACTGGGTATATCTAATCTACATTTGAAACTGTGAATGGAGTCTGCCTCCACCACATTACTGCCTAAACCATACACCGGACTGTGTGTGTATGTGTGTGTGTGTGTGTGTGTGTGTGTGTGTGTGTGTGTGTGTGTGTGTGTGTGTGTGTGTGTGTGTGTGTGTGTGTGTGTGTGAGTGTGTGTGTGTGTGTGTGTAGATAAAGCAAATAGTAATTAGTAACAGTTGATTGACAGTTGAGAGGCGGGCGGAAAGAGCAGAGCTCAACCCCCGCAAGCACAACTAGGTGAGTACAAGCAATCATTCTTGACTAGTGCCACCACTGTAGTTCTTTATGACGTGTGTTGTTGCCATGGTAACCCTCCTACGATGGGGGAGATGATGAGGGAGTATATGGTGAGGGACAGTAACAAGCACCATCTCTCACACCTGCTGCTACCTCACACCTGCTGCTACCTCACACCTGCCTCTACCTCACACCTCCTACCTCACACCTGCTACTACCTCACACCTGCTGCTACCTCACACCTCCTACCTCACACCTGCCTCTACCTTACACCTACCTCACACATCTATATATTGGGAACCTGCTTTAATTTACATTTAAAAAACTCTCATTTTACATTTGCTGGATAATTCCCCCTCTCACCCCACCTGGAACTCCCCCTCCCCTCCCCTCACCTCAAAACCACCCCAGAATAATCCTACCTCTCACCCCATCAGGATAATCCTCCTCCCCCCCTCCTCCCCAGCTGGATAATCTCCCTGGATGACGTGTGGATGAGTGACAGGTGTTGGAAAGCGTAGCGGTTGAGCTCATAAATGATCTTGGAATTCCATTATGGATACTTCCTTCAGGCAATCTATCATCGTAGACAGCTACGGCTGCCTGCCTGTCTTCCTGCCTGCTTGCCTGCCTGCCTTCTTGTCTGCCTGCCTGCCTGTTTGCCTGCCTGCCTGTCTGCCTGTTTGCCTGCCTGCCTGTCTGCCTACCTGCCTGTCTGCCTGCCTGCCTGCCTGCCTGCCTGCCTGCCTGCCTGCCTTCTTGTCTGCCTACCTGCCTGCCTGTCTGCCTTCCTGTCTTCCTGTCTGCCTCCCTGCCTGCCTGCCTGCCTGCCTGCCTGCCTGCCTGCCTGCCTGCCTTCCTGTCTGCCTCCCTGCCCGCCTGAAACATCCCTGCCTTGCGTCACTGCGTCACAGTATGAGGGGACGCAACTATCAGAGATGGGGAGATATTAAGGTTGAGGCGTTAGTGTATTGGGTATAAGTGTGAAGGGGTGCTAAGAAGGTGGGAAGTATAAGGGGCGGCCCAGGGGAAGAAGGTAGAGGGGATAAGTAGGAAGTAGGAAGTTGTGTGGGGGGGGGAGGAGGAAGAGTAGGGAGAGAAAAAGTAATTATATAAGAAGAAATAGTCAAGAAAATAATCTCTCGTTCGCGGAATTGGCAATCTAAGCAGTATTGTTTGAGTCATTATCAAAGTTGACTCTCTCTGTCTCTCTCTCTCTCTCTCTCTCTCTCTCTCTCTCTCTCTCTCTCTCTCTCTCTCTCTCTCTCTCTCTCTCTCTCTCTCTCTCTCTCTCTCTCTCTCTCTCTCTCTCTTTCTCTCTCTGGGTCGTGCATGACCACCATTAACTTCTCATAATTAGTTTCTATGCCTCGGGCAGCGAGGATATCTCAAGGTACGAAGAGTGTTGTTATCTTCACCCCGCTATATCAAACATATATATGCTAGATAACCGAAGCTTGGCATAGTTATAATAAATACTTTTAACACTTTATGAAATCTAATTTAAAATCAGCTTTTGAACTTTCCCTTCAACTCTTAACAAATATATAAAAGAGAGGTGGAAAGTGGTAAAAATTCATTATAATATAATCCTGGAATGTTACATATAATGTTGGTTCGGTGCGTTTCGGACGGATCTGTGAAATTGTCTAAATTTGCCAAATTCTTTTCATGGATTTTGCTGACTGTTTATTGGGAACTTTCCAACTGGAAACGAAGTTAAGAATTTGCTTCTGGAGTAAGGTGGCACTTTCCCCATGGGTGTACGTAGGTGGCACTTTCCCCATGGGTGTAGGTAGGTGGCACTTTCTCCATGGGTGTAGGTAGGTGGCACTTTCTCCATGGGTGTAGGTAGGTGGCACTTTCCCCATGGGTGTAGGTAGGTGGCACTTTCCCCATGGGTGTAGGTAGGTGGCACTTTCTCCATGGGTGTAGGTAGGTGGCACTTTCTCCATGGGTGTAGGTAGGTGGCACTTTCCCCATGGGTGTAGGTAGGTGGCACTTTCTCGTGGGTGTAGATATGTGGCACTTTCTCGTGGGTGTAGGTAGGTGGCACTTTCTCGTGGGTGTAGGTAGGTGGCACTTTCCCCATTGGTGTAGGTAGGAGACACTTTCTCGTGGGTGTAGGTAGGTGGCACTGTCCCATGGGTGTAGGTAGGTGGCACTGTCCCATGGGTGTAGGTAGGTGGCACTTTCTCGTGGGTGTAGGTAGGTGGCACTTTCTCGTGGGTGTAGGTAAGTGGCACTTTCTCGTGGGTGTAGATAGGTGGCACTTTCTCGTGGGTGTAGGTAGGTGGCACTTTCTCGTGGGTGTAGGTAGGTGGCACTTTCTCGCGCGTGTAGGTAGGTGGCACTTTCTCGTGGGTGTAGGTAAGTGGCACTGTCCCATGGGTGTAGGTAGGTGGCACTGTCCCATGGGTGTAGGTAGGTGGCACTTTCTCGTGGGTGTAGGTAGGTGGCACTTTCTCGTGGGTGTAGGTAGGTGGCACTTTCTACAGTGCCATGGAGGCGTGTATCTAGTCGAACATGTGATGCGTTAGACCTTCGTTCTCGCCTGCCTCTTGGATGGCAACTTTCATGTCAGCTACTGTCAGAGGCCTATACTGCCTTGCACTCCCCCTCCCTCTTCCATTTCCACGCCCCTGAATAGCCAAGAGGAAGCCTCCAACTCCAGCAGGACCTTGCAGGAGGGCCAGCAGGGCCAGCAGGGCCAGCAGGGCCTTATACGAGGAACAGCAGGGCAAGAACAGCAGTAATTGCCTTTCTGACCAGTAGGGTCTAACACCTGTACCCACATGGACACAGTGACGTCACAGTCGTCACACACCTCGTCACACTATATAAACAACATTTTCTCATATTTACGTTACGTTAGACGTGGATACGTTGAGTTAGAGTAGGTTGGCTTACGGTCGGTTGGATAAAGAAGGGTTAGGTTAGATTAGGATATGTTGAGTTACATTAAATTGGGTTACGGTAGGTTTTGTAAGGTTGGGTTGGTGTTAGGTCGAGATGGGTTAGTTTGGGATAGGTTGGGATGGGTTAAGTTTGATTAGGATAGGATAGGATAGACTAGGCTTGTTTAAAGAGCATCAGCTGTGATGTGGAGGATACATACTTCTCTCGGGTTTTGGACCCTGCTCTTATAGAATACTGTAATTGCTCCTAATTTGCATCTCTAATTACTCCCCAGAAAATGTAATTGAAAGTTTTCCTTTTCTGGAAGTGAACTAAAGAGACGTCCGAATCTTTGTGACCTCGAAGCGCTACAAAATAAAAACATTATTTTTAAAAACACGTTTTCGATGTATTTCTTAGAATGGATAAAAATCCTTGAATTTGTATTATGCAGTTCTCACCAGTTCCGGGAACCAGAAGATCACTTATAAGTGCTTGTTTGCAATCGTCTTAAGTCACTTTTACGTTGATGACCAGACCACACACTAGAAGATGAAGGGACGACGACGTTTTGGTCCGTCCTGGACCATTCTCAAGTCGATCGACTTGGAAAGTCGATCTTTCGATCCACCACACCTTCTAGTGTGTGTGGTCTGGTCATCATATTTTAGCCACGTTATTGTGACTCACTTTTACGTCATTGTTGAAATTAAATTCACTTATTTTGTTCAATTCTGGGGAATTAATTATTGAGAATAGTTGTGGTGGAGTTAGTTTCTAGAGCCTGGTGTTGTTACTGCCTGTTGATATTGCTGCTCCTCACTGGTCCTTGTGTATCACCCCTCATGACACACCTGGGGGTCCTTGTGGGAGGGTTATTGACTGGGTCTTATAGTCACACTACCTGGCTCCCGCCCACACTACCTGGCTCCCGCCCACACTACCTGGCTCCCGCCCACACTACCTGGCTTCCATCCACACTATCTGGCTCCCACCGAATCACCCAGCCCCCGCCCACAGAACCCCCGACAAACATTCTCACCCCCACCCAGACTTGACAAACACAGCCCACACTCACACCTCACCAACACAGCCCACACTCACACCTCACAATCACAACCCCACACTCACACCTCACCCACGTCTCATCACAACATCTCCAGTCCTCATGAGGGAAAATATTTTATTCAGAAGAACGCATTATTTAACCAGAACATGAACTTCACACAATAGTTTTTCCAACCACTTGGACTGGTCGGTAGAGCGACGACCTTCCCTCTTGCAAGGTCGGCGTTCGATCCCCGACGGTCCAGGTTGTTGGATTCTTGAGCCCGTTCCCATATCCCAGCACCTTAATGTCCCCTTCTCCATCTCAAGTGCTGAATAGTCACGCTGGCTAAGTCTGCCCTCACGTCCCAGTATTTAGTCTATCACATATCCCTTCCAAGTGCTATAGAAGCAATTTCGGTTTAACGCTTTCTCTTACTGTGGCTTTGACTAATAATAAAATTAGTAGTGATAATAATAATAATAATAATAATAATTTGGTTAAAATGATCATCAATACTCTACAAAAGTAAAAAAAACAAAAAGACTCTAATTCGAAGCCAGTATATCTGTGGAGTACGTAGAAGTGATTACAAACTAAAAACTTCTAAAGAAACCAATCAAAAACCTTACCTCGTCTCCTTGGTTTAAGTACTCCCAAAGCAGGTAATAGCGAGGGTCAAGGAGCAAGTAGTCATCTGGACTCGCTACTCCTTCCTCTGCTGCTGCTGCTGCTGCTGCTGGCGACGAAGAGGCAATAGCCAGGTCGTTAGGGCCTTCGGCACCACCCACGGCCTCGGAGAGCACCCGCTGGAGGCGGTAGGCTGCGGCCTGCGAGTTGGGGTCGTCCAGTTCCCTTAGAATGTCGTTCTCGTCGTACCTGCAGGCCAGGGAGAGCAGCGAGACGGGTGAGTGAGGTGATGGGTGGTGTGTGGTGGGGGTCGAGGGGTGTGGTGGGGGTGGAGGGGTGTGGTGGGGGTCGAGGGGTGTGGTGGGGGTGGAGGGGTGTAGTGGGGGTGGAGGGGTGTGGTGGGGGTGGAGGGGTGTGGTGGGGGTCGAGGGGTGTGGTGGGGGTCGAGGGGTGTGGTGGGGGTGGAGGGGTGTGGTGGGGGTGGAGGGGTGTGGTGGGGGTGGAGGGGTGTGGTGGGGGTGGAGGGGTGTGGTGGGGGTGGAGGGGTGTGGTGGGGGCCGAGGGGTGTGGTGGGGGTCGAGGGGTGTGGTGGGGGTGGAGGGGTGTGGTGGGGTGGGTGTGACAATAAAGTGTTGGTAGGGGTCGGGGTTTTTCACTTGTCTTGTTTCACATTATTCTGTGTGAGAATAGTCTCTGTTATTACTATTCTTTACCGTCCTCCCATCTTCATTCTCTCAGCCTGCTTGTTGTCATCTTACAGCCTCTCTAATGCCATCTGTCCAACCACTTGGGCTGGACGGCAGAGCGACGGTCTCTCTTCATGCAGGTCGGCGTTCAATCCCCGACCATCCATGTGATTGGACACCATTCCTTCCTACCCCGTCCCATCCCAAATCCTTATCCTGACTCAGTGCTATATAGTGGTAATGGCTTAAGGCGCTTTCCCCCTAAGAATTCCCTCCCCTCTTGTCCCACTGGCCAGCCTCCCTCCTCTCAGCCC